CAGAGAATACATGATTTATTGACTATACAAAGGCATTTGACTGTCTGGCTCATAACAGACTTTGGATAACATTGCAAAGAATGGGAATTCCAGAACACTTAATTGTGAGGTTCTTATAAATAGACCAAGAGGCAGTCATTCAAGCAGAAAGAATAAGGAATGATTTAAAATCAGGAAAATTGTGTCAAAATTGGACCCTTTTACCATATTTACTCAATCTATATTCTGAGCAAATAATCCAAGAAGCTGGATTATAAAAGAATGTAGCATCAGGATTGGAGGAAGGCTCAAAGACTTGAAATACATAAACTGATACAGCCTTCAGTGTGGATTACCCTTCAATGTGAAGAAAACAAAAATCCTCACAACTAGACAAATACATTTTCACTGTGATAAGCAGAGAAGAGATTGGAATTGCCAAAGATTTCATTTTGCTTGAATCCACAATCAGCGTTCATAAGAGTTGTTAGTGCCGTTGAGTCGATTCTGGCTCATAGTGACCCTGTAGAGGGTTTTCAAGGTTGAACCACCAACTTTATGATTCAAACTAACTTGCAGTGCATTAACCCACATTGCCACACCAGGACTCTGCTCATAAAATCAAGTCAAGAAATCAAATGGCTTATTGCATTGGGCTCATCTGCTGCAAAAGACCTTTTTAAAGGGTTAAAGAGCAAACTGGTCAGTTTGAGGAGTCAGGTGTGCCTGCCCTAGGCCATGGTATTTTAAGTTGCCTCATATGTATACTAAAGTTGGACAATGAATCAAGAAGACTGTAGGAAGCCTCTGAATTAAAGTCACTGAATAGAATTCAATCAAAGGTAGCTGTCATTACTTTAATTATTTCATTCTGTTGCCAAACAATGTTGTCACAATGTTTAACATAGAAAATCATCATCAAGCCCTCTAGATGTCTAAGAAATCTGCCATGAAACAAGGGACGATGGAGGGGAGTTCAGGAAAAGTTCAAATGAGAAGTTATTTTTATTTGGACGTTATCAAGAAGGAAGGGAAGGGCATTCCAGAAGGCAGAAACACCATGAAAAGGCACACAGAATGAGAATGCATGTCTTGTATAGATGACTTGTATAATGACACGCTTTGCACAGGAGTCATTAGGCATGGGAGTGTAGCAGACAAAAGTAGGGGAGGCTAGAGAGGCATGAACATAATCATCAGGAGCTTTGTGTGACATACTATAAAATGAACTTGGGCTATGAGCAGTAAGGATACGGTGGTGGTAAGTACCATGGAGTCGGTTCCAGCTCATAGAGACCCTGGACAGGGTTTCTGAGGCTACAAATCTTTATGGGAGCAGAAAGCCTCATCTTTCTCCCTCAGAACAGCTAGTAGTTTTGAACTGCTGACCTTGAGGTTAGCAGCCCAATTTGTAACCACTACGCTACCAGAGCTCCTTAAAAGAGCAAAATGATTCGATTTGTTATCTAGAATGTAGAGTCTATTTGTACTATAGAGAATAGGAGTGGGGAACTAGGCTGAAGGCATGAGACAAGTTAAAAAGAAGACTGTAGGAGCAGTGCGTTTGAATTATGTACTGTCAGAAGAACAAACAAATTCTGTCTTGGAAGAAGTACAACCAGAATTTTCCTTTGAATTAAGGATGGTGAGACTTGGTCTCTTGTACTGTGGACATGTGGTCAGAAGAAACCAGTCCACGGAGAAAAACTCCTAACGACATGGGTTGGCACAGTGGCAACGACAGTGGGTGTGAGGTTGGCGAAGGATCCAGCAGTGTTTTGTTCTGTTGTACATATAAAGTTGTTCTGAGTCGGAACCAACTCAAGTTGTTGGCACTTACCAACAACATATGGGATCAAATTGACCACAGCAACTCAAAAGAGCAGATAGGACTCTTGGGGGCAGCGAATTTATATTAATGAAGGAGGAACAACTCATAAAATGAGGGTGAGAATTAACACCACCTAGAGATTGTAATGTAATCAGTGTCACTGAGGTGTACATGTAGAAACTGTTGAAATGGAAATTTTTGCTGTGCATAGTCTCAACAAAAATAATTTTTTAAAAATAATGTAATGCAATATTAGTTTCCTATCTTACACATAGTAATAAACAAGAGGAGGAGACGTACTGTACCCACATTAATGAGAATCCAACCCAGTTTATCTTTGATTGTTGTAAATGCCGTCTAGTCAGTTCTGACTCATAGTGACCCTGTTTAGGGTTTTCGAGGAACAACTGGTGAGTTTGAATTGCTAACCTTGTGGCTCACAGTCCAGTGCCGAACCTACAGCATCACACCAGAAGTTCAGTTTATATTTTTTGTTGTTGCTGAGTGCCGTTGAGTCGGTTCCAAGTCATAGCGACCCTATGTAGGGTTTCCAAGGAGCAGCTGGTGAGCTTGAACTGCTTGGTTTTATGGTTCGAGCCATCAGTCGGGTGTCCGAGGAGCCATGGCTTCTTGTGTCTTTTCCAAGAAGAAAATGAGACTGGTGTTCGCTATCATCTAAAAGGTGTTTTTTTTTTTTTTTAAGTTTTTATTGTGAATTATGTGGGTTTACGTGGGAGAACATCAGTTTTACATTCACCCTGTCGTATTTCATTTCATTGCAATGATTACAGTCCCCTCCATGTGTCATCAAATAACCAAAGGATACACCCCACAGGCCCAGCCCCTGGCCATCAGCACACAGCCTCTCTCCCTCCCTGAGTCCAGTGTCCCCAGCTGCTCCATCAGTCCACATCATCATCTCTGTCTCCATGCCTGGCATCACTGCCTCTCTGGGTAGGGTCACGCTCTCAGCTCTTCTCACTTGATGGTCCCAGGGACCTCTGCTCCTGGGCTGCACAATCAATCATTCTCCTCCTTTTGTCAAAAAACATCTACCTCTATATTTCCTAGCCTCACAGTCAGTCCTGATGGCAGTTATTCACTATTGTACCACAAGAGTCTTATCCCCATTTCCTTTCGTCAGCCCGGTCCCAACAGATTGGAAATCATTCAGTGGAGGTTCTACCTATCCCTGCCCCATCTGGAACCAGGCTCCCTCTTGAAAGCTTGTAAGCCAGTCACTTCTTGCCTTTATATCCCCCCACCCCCCCATGTTGGGTTGTTGTTGTTGTTGTTAAGTGCCATCGAGTCGGTTCCGACCCATAGCGACCCTGTACAGGGTTTCCGAGGGTGTAAATCTTTACGGGAGTAGAAAGCCTCATCTTTCTCCCGCGGAGCGGCTGGTAGTTTCGAACCGCTGACCTTAAGGTTCGCAGCCCAATTCGTAACCACTACGCTACCAGAGCTCCTTCCATGTTGGGTAGTCAGTGTTTAAGTTGTCCATCCCTGTCAACCCTGTGTACCGAGGGGGTGGGAGTGATCCTTGCTGTAAAGATTTGTTCCCTTCATATTACAGTTTTTTAAATGGGTAGGTATTTATTTTGCCTTGCATAATTTACCTTGGAAAGGAAATGGCCGTCCTCATAAGCCCAGGCACATCCTTCTCCTTCCACACGCAGCGCTTAGCTCTACTGTCAGACAGTCACAGGGAACTATATGATCCTAAAACCAAAGGTGAGTGGATGATGCTTAATGTTCTCATATTTTCCACTGCCCTTCTCTTCATCTCTCGTCCAAAACCGAACACCAAATCCACTGCCACCGAGTCCACTCTGACTCATAGCAACACTCTAGGACAAAGTAGAACCACCTATAGGCTTTCCAGGGTTTTGACCTTTGCAAAAACTGACTGCTTCATCTTCCCTCCTGCCCCCTCAAAGATTAGCTGGTTCATTTGAACTACCATATTTTGGTTAGAAACTGAGTACCTAACCACCGCACCATCAGGGGCTCCTTTATCCCCCGTATTGTCATTAATATCTTACTGTTGTAGTGGCTGCCTCCCTCCAGTCTACCCTCCACCTCTCTTCCCTCAGGTTCATCTTGTGCACTGTGGCTATTAATATCATCTACAAGCCTGGATCAGTTAGCGGCCTCTGTTGTCTACAACCTCAATGTATCGCCTCGCCCCACCCCCAAGTAGAGGACAAGCTTCAATCCCAGTCCAAACTGCTTTGCTGGCATTCCTGCTACCCAGTTTTCCTCTCCCCACCCTCATTATACCCTGGGATCTACACTCTCAGGACCTCAACCTTTGTTCCATCTGTACATCTATGCTTCCTATTCCCTCTAGCAGAGACATCTACCCTGCCTTTCTGTACTCTCATTCGCTGGTAGAACTACATTCACAAAGGTAGTGGTTGTTGTTAAGTGCTGTCGAGTTGGTTCCAACCCACAGCTAAACTATAGGGTTTCCGAGGAGCAGCCGGTGAGTTTGAACTGCCGACCTTGCTGTTCAAACTGACCTTGTGATCCAATGCTTATCCAGTTGCACCACACCAGGTAGGTAGTTCTTTATTATATGCAACACCTTGCATTATTTGGACCACTGTTATAGAACTTATTGAACTCCTGGTGTGGTGCTGTAGGATCAGCACTAGACTGGGAACCACAAGGTCAGCAGTTCAAACCTACCAACTGCTCCTTGGAAACCCTATACAGGTTGCTATGATGGCACTTACATCATAGAGCTTGTTATTTTATGGTTAGTTAATTAATTATGTATATGGGTTTCTTTCCATCTGTCTTTGAGCTCCTTTAAGGCAGGACAGTGATCTCATTTCCTCACCTAGTAGAGTTTCCAGAAAGCACATAGTAGGTATAGAAAAAATGTGCATGAATTATTCAAATTGATGGCTTTTTCAAACTTTTGCTCTGTTGTTCTCTGAAATTGAGAAAGAAGAGCGGGCATAAAGTGTGTTTATCCTGGGTGGGTTCTGATAAGGGCCACTGACTCCCTTTCATCTCCTTAGCACAACTTCCCATATCACAGCCTTTCATAGTCCTAGAAAACCCCCACAAGAGGTTTACAATCATTTACTCAGGGTTTCAATGGTATTCTGAATTGACTCAGGCTGAGAGGCCATTCATTCCAATCCCAAGCAGCTAAATCTCTTTTTTTTCTCCACAGGGAAACAGCTGGAAGGCATCTGGTAAGTCAGGTGGACTCCCTACATTGATTGGTTTATGAAACAATGCAGCACCCCATTAATTTTAGGTTCCCTTTTGTGGCTTTCAGCTTGAAATCTTGTTCTGTGTGCCTTCAATTGTCAGGTCCCAAAGCAATTGATTCCCAACCAGAAGCTGATTTTACCCACGAGGGATATTTGGCAGTATCTGGAAAGGTTGTTGGGTAGAGACCAGGGTGCTACTAAACGTCCTACACTGCCCAGGACAGTCTTCTCCAACAAAGAATTCTAGAGTCCTAAATGTCACTAGTGCCCAAGTTGAGAAACCCTGCCATGTTAGCCAAAGCACGCTTTCGAAGCCCAGAAGTCTTAAGGGCCCACGTTTCTCCCTTAAAGCACAGATCTCACTAATGTTCTCCCATGTAAACTATCAAGTAATTCACAATAAAACATGAAAAAAGAAAAACACAGATCCTCTTGGTCTCTCAGTAATAGATCCTTCCCTGTCACACTCCAACCTGGTGAGGAACCCACAGGTCAGCAGGTGTTCCGTCTGAATTCCTAGTGCCCGCTGACATTTGGGTTGACCGGAATGACTCTTTTCTTTGTTTAACTAGAACCAAGAAGTAAGTAATATGAGCACTTTCCCCTAAATCAAACATCATCTGGTGTGGTCCTCAACATAGCCCAGGTTTAGTGCACACATTAGCTTTTAGAGCCTAGACCACACCTTGACCTGCAGAGCTTTATTTCAGTTATAGATGTGTGAGTCTCAAGGTGAACATCTAGGGATCCCTCCACAGCAGTGGTTCTCAACCAAGGGCAATTCTGCCTTCCACCCACCCACCTCCCCTCCCCCCCAGGAGATACTTGGCAACATCTGGAGACATTTTTTTGGTTTTCACAATTGGAGGAGCAGATGCAGTTGGCATCTAGTGAATAGAGACCAGGGGTGCTGCTCAACATTTTAGCATATACAGGAGAGCCCTCTCAACAAAGAATTATCCAGCCTAAATTGTCCATTGTCGGTGGTGCTGGTAAGTGCTGACTCATAGCCCCTTTATGGGGTTTCCAAGGAGTCACGCTGGGGTTTGAACTGGACCGCTCCAGGTCCAGTGCTGATCCTACAGCGCACACCAGGACTCCCGTACGATCAGTAGTGCCTTGAAAAGCCCTGACGCTGGCTTAGAGCTTATTCATGCCTTTGTTTGGTGACTTTTAGAAGCCTGGTCACCACAGTCACACCCATGGGCAGAAGTTATTCCCAGTGCAGTGTGGTAGTGAGGTGTTTTCTGGCCAATTTTACATTTTCAGGCTCATTCTGTCTCTCCTGTGTTGCAGGCATACCTCCATAGTTGTGCACAAGGATGAGTTCTTCTTTGGCAGCGGCGGTATCTCCAGCTGTCCCCCGGTGAGTGCTTTCCTCCACACCCTGACCTGCAGTCTCAGGTTCCTGGGGGCTCCTATAGACCAAGGACACTACTTCTGATTTCTAGTCCAGTATATGGCAGCCTGTGGCAGAGTTCCTCAAAACAACCTTACGGCTCTGCTCAAGGAAGCTTTCCTTAAGGCCCCCCCAGCCACTCCCCTGTGGGCTCCTCTGTCTCACACTGAGTACACATGAGCGTTCTGCCTCCACTGGGCAGAAGCTGAGACTGCATTGTCCTCTTGTGTTTCGTCACCAGCCCAGTTACTGGGTCATAGCATGAACCTAGCCAGCGCTAAGTTGAATGAAGCAAGAGGGGAGAGTTGGCCAGGTTACCCAGTCAGTAAGTAGCACCAGGACTAGAACTTGGGTTTCTCTAAAACCCATGTCCTTTTCCAGAAACTTGTCAGAGCTATCCAAGGGCCGTCACACAAGGCATGCAAGCAAAGGCCCAGCAACCCTTCATCTCATACTCCTAGGTAGGCAAGGCCTTTCATTAAGCCCCATGAATCCGACCCTGTAAATGTGTCTGAACTTCATCTGTCTCTCCATCATTTTCTTTCGCCAGAGTTTTTACCTTAACCCAGGCCACCCTCATATCCAGCCCAGACCACTTCTCTAGCCTCTTCGTGGCACTTCTTCCTCCGCAGTGACTGCTCCACTCAGGAGGCCAAGTGACTTTTTCCAAAGGGAATCTGGTCTTGGCGTTCCCCTACTTATTCCCATTGCTTGTGGACTAGAACCCAGAAAGCTCCTCATGACCTCCAAGGCCTTATCTGAGCTGGTCTCCATCTCCCTCTCTGATTGGTCTCTTGTTCGAGTTGTATCCTCCCCCACCCCCACCCCTTCTCTTTCCTTGCACCACCTGTATCTGACATCAGCACACCTCCCTGCTGTCCGCCTCATCTTTCAGAACTTTGTCACTGTTATAGGCAAGTCTCCCTTGACCCCTTGACGGGGCAGGCCTCTGCCACACAGGCTCAGGGCATTTGCTGCCCTTTAACAAGACCCCGATTGCAGTTTTTACATTGGTTTATGGGATCTTTTGGTCTGCCTTCCCCATTGTAATCTAGACGGCTCTGTTCTGGATTGTTCTTTATTCCTCAACCCCTTCCAGAGATCCTGTTTCTTCTCCATAGGCTGTTTCCTCGGTGATTGTTCTCTGTTTACCCTGTGGTAAGGGTCCTTGTAGACCTTCCAGGGGCCATTAAGTCCCTTGCCGAGGGAACCTCATCACCACCATTGGATTAGCCTCAAAAAAATGTTTTTAATCTGAGTTATAGAAATACTTGGCCAGCCTGGCAGATTTCTTACAGCCCTCCACATTTTCCTGTTGTAAAAAGAGACACGTGTCTCGCAAAGTAAAGCTAGCTGCATACTCTATGAAGGTAAGCCTGGAAAGTGGGCCTACTGAGGATGAGCCAGCTCTCATTGTCTGTTCTACCCACATGGTCAGGCATGGCAGGCCCTACTCTGAGCTGCTTTCTATCACCTAAATGGATTGGACGGTGTAAGGAGTCATACCTACAAGAGACTTAACTTCCCAGGGCTCCACTGGAAGCAAGAAGCTTCAACTTCTTAGGCAAGCTTCCAGCACATCCAATAGAGTGTTGCCAGAAAGTTCTAAGCCATTGTAGCCTGGATCCAAAGAGGAGATGATATTTTTCATCCATCTGTGCTACTTGAAAGTTAAAAAGGAAGTTGCAGCAGCGTGCTTGTAGTCTCCCATGGGAAGATATATTGCATGGAAATGATGACTTAATGACTTTTCTTTGGGCTGCCTCTTTTAGGGAGGGACATTGCTCGGGCCTCCAGACTCTGTGGTAGATGTGGGGAGCACAGAAGTCACCGAAGAAATCTTTCTGGAGTACCTGTCTTCTCTGGGGGAGTCTCTGTTTCGGTGAGTGGAAATGGGGGGCAGGGGGCTAGTGGTGTCTGCCTGCCCTGCTAGATAACCAGCCCCCGGGGAGGCCGCCACCATGACACGGCCACCAGAGCACCCGGCCTGGCCTGGCCTCATGACGAGAGCGCAGCACAGAATTGCTCTGAGACACATAGTCCACCCCAGTCTGCAGAGTTTTGCAGGAAGGAGGAGCTGTATTGTCAGCCTGTAGTGGCCAAGGGTTTTGTCATGACAATGAAAAGCATGTAAAGGGGCAAGGTGAAATACAGATCTAAGCTGATTTTCTCTTAAAGCACTGTAGTTGTTGCCAAAGAGTTAAGTTCTAACCCCAAAGCTCTGCTTTCATGAGTATAAAGATTTTCTTGAAAAACTGTATTGGAGCCATTCCCTTCCCTTTCATTTCATATTTCCCTTTAAAACATAATCTATTTGTAAAGGGTCAGATTGGCCAGAGTTCTCCTAACATCTCGAGGCCAGCGTCCTCCGGGAGTATGAGAGAGAAGGGGAACTGCAGTTTTCAGATGCAGCTGTGCTGACCACGCCGTTCCCTGGTGTAACTTGGTGCGTGCAGGTGTTGACTTGCTGGCTCTTATCTGTTCTCCATACCTTTCTCACAATATACAGGGGTGAGGCCTACAACCTCTTTGAACACAACTGTAACACCTTCAGCAATGAAGTAGCCCAGTTTCTGACTGGGCGGAAGATCCCTTCTTACATCACTGACCTTCCCTCTGAAGTTCTCTCCACGTAAGTGTGATCTCGTCTCTGCCCTCACTAACAGCCACCTCCTCTGGCCCCTCTCTCCTCCCCTGATCTCAGCAGAGTCCACCCAAGCCAGGTGGAGCCCATCCTGGTGGCAGTTGCTAACACAGGAGGCCACCACTCTGTCCTCTCTCCGGTGTTTGCCTATAGTACCTTCACCTACCTTGGAGTTGGACCAACTCTACCTGGCTTACATATCACCACAGAACTTAAAAACCCTCCTGAAACCACCTTCAGTGCTTGTACAGAATTCTGACATCTGTCTGCCATTGGGCACATGTCCAGTGAAAACGCAGTTGTAGCTAGAAGAGCCGAGAATGAGCAAGGCTGGTTCTGTACCAATCCCTTTGTAAGTCTGTCTTCACGGCCCCACGAGGGAAGATAGGATTGCTCCCTACTTGTCCTCGTACCTGAGCATGCAGTCTGTCCTCAGTGACACTGGCTTTGAGCACATTCTGCTGCTCCTCTGGCCCTGATGTGGGCTGTGCTCTTGTCAGCGTCCACTGGAAGGACACTCACTCACTCAGATCCATCCCCTCCTCCCTCCATTTGCTGACTCAGCCTTGGTTCCTTCTGACCTAGGGACCTGACAGGGACCTCAGAGGTTTGACAGGCTCAACAGGTGGAAAAACAAGCCCCCATCTCCTACCCATCACCTCTGGTGGGCAACTAAACCACAGCCTTTCTGAAGGATCTAGGTTACGGGACCCTGGGCATACTTAAGTAGCTAGAATGTTCTTGCTGGTAACTGTTGGATAGGAGGAGTCCCTGGGCTTGTCTGGTTAAGGGCTGGTATTTCTCTGTTCCACCTATGTGTGTTTTGGAGTACTTCATTCTCTTTGAAGTTGGGGGTGATTTTCAAAACTAGCAGTCGCCACTGAAGGAAAAGTCAGTGATTGAAGTGTGGGCAACCTGTTTTAAGGCTGCAGGAACCTTGGGGGGGGGGGCTCCAAACTCCAGTTGTTGCCATGTTGTTTGTTTTTTTCAGTGAAACACCTAGGCGAGCGCTTTAGAAAGTGACACTGATGCCTTTTGGCCACCTGGCGTTCATCACATGTCATGACTGTTCCCTGTACTCCCCAAGAGAATCCTGACTTTATCTTCTTAAAATCTTTTGTCCTTTGCCTCCATCAAACTTGATTTTTATCTTCTTATACCAAGAGAATCCCAAGTACGAGTACAGAAAGTCCCGAAAGCAAACCGCAGCCTAAAGAGGACCTCGAGGTGAAGGTCGTAAGCTGTGGTAGCTCCTGCCTCAGCAGGGCCCCCAGGAGTGAACAAGTCAGGGCTGGCTATTTGAGAGTTCTCCATCAAGAGTGCTGAGGTGTGAGGCAGGTGGGAAAAATAAATAAGTAGATGGTGTCCTTTGTCCCTGTGTGGAGCCCAGCCCAGCTTGCACCTCTGTCTCCCCTGCAGGCCCTTTGGACAGGCACTGCGTCCCCTCCTGGACTCCATCCAGATCCAGCCTCCCGGAGGAAACAATATCGGCAGAGCCAATGGCCAGAGCTAACAGGACTGCATGGGACCGCCCTGCCTCATCAGGGCTTTGCCTTTTTAAACAAAACAAACCCTAACCAGATTTCTATTTTATAATTTTACATCAGAGCTAACAACCAGGGGACGGCTTGTTACATTTCCCAGGGAAGGAGATCTTCAGGCTGCATGTAGGACAATGCTGCTAAGAAACAGAACAAATGCCACCCCTTCTAATAGTATTATACTAATTTATTAAGGTTGTCTTGTCTGTGAGTTCACTTGACGCTGTTTCCTAAGCGTCCTACACATGGAGAAAGGGAGGGGTTCTGCTTAAGCAGAAAGCAAGAGACACGGTTTGGGGAAGCCCCGAGAAAACACCCCCGCTTCACCAGGTTTCTATCACTCGTGGGACCCAGGTGAGTTTTACAACACCCATGGCCCTGAAGCAACTCCTCCGTAGTGTGAAATGAACCAAAGGTTTTGGTGCACAGGGGACCGGTTACAGGACAACTGACCCAACTGAAGTGAATTCCATAGCTACCACCTTTCTGCCCTTCCTCCCCAGCCCCGGAGGCAAGCAAGGCCAGAGGGCAGGAACAGCGAGAAACTTCAGGAACAAGGGAGAGTGGTGGCAGCAAGTATCAGGCCAGAGAACACAGGATAAAGCCATTCATACCTCCCTCCATCCAGACCGATTGCCAATCCTCTGACATCATGTTTAGAAAGCCTGCCTTGTTACCCCCAAGGCCGCGCTCCCTCAGCTCAACTGACCTACCAGGGTGAATGAAGGGGGCTGGACTGGGAGCAAGAGACTCAGAACTTTGTCTGCAAATAATAACGGAGGCTCTTTGCAATGACTGTAAGCAACCCAACCGGATCAGTGTGCAGTATTCGGCTGGGAGCCAAGGAACAGTGAGTCTCTACTCTAGAAAAATATTCCTGATAATTGTTTGTTGTTGTTAGGTACCATCAAGTTGGTACCGACCCATAGCGACCTTATGCACAGCAGAAGGAAACACTGCCCGATCCTGGGCCAACCTCACCACTGTTGCCACGCTTGAGCCTGATAATAGAAGACTGGTCATGCAGACTCAAAATGGCAGGAGAGGTTAGAGTTGTTTCCAATGGGGACTTTGACCTGATCCTAAACGTGGGTTGAAGGCATACATTATTTCTGTGACGATTCTGTCTGACGTTGGGGAGGCCTACTGGGGGCCTGGGTGGTCACTTTTGAATGACTTTCTGCTAGGAGTTCATATTGCGGGAAACAGTCTGGAAGGCTCTGATCTGTCCCTTGAGTCTCTGCTCTGGCGCCCCTGGGCCTACACCCCTCCTACCACAGTTCCCTGCCGCATGGCAGGCCTGAACATGTTGCTTCTTTCTAGGGGTCTGACCTTTCCTCTCCCCAAAACTTCTGTTTCTCTCTGTCCCTCCTCCATCTCTGCCTTCTGGTATGCAGTTTAGAATGGTCAGGGGCTCAGCTAGAGGAATAGCTGACCTTCCTGTAGACCTCTGACCTGGTAGGGCCTCCCCATGATGAGAAGCTGTAATGTCAAGTAACATTTGGAGGCCAAACCAGTGAGCACTTGAGTTCTTCTCAAGACCCACTATTTGGCCAGTGTGAGCATTAATGAGACAGGAGACCAGGAACTAGAAGGGCTGTTGTTCAGTGTTGACACACTGGCAGAGTTGGACCCAAGGGGAGTACGTTTCTCTGCAACCCTCTCTCTGTCCAGATGCTCTGGGCATCACAGCGCCTCTTCTCCCCACCCCCACCCAATACATGTCCTCCCAGCAGTCACCCCCAGACCCAGGACTATCCCAAGAAGTTCACCTCAGTGGCATTCCCTTAAGAATCGGAGCCACTTTTGCTTCGTTGCCCAGTCCCTCCTCCATGCCCAGCCACCAGCTGTGCCAATGCCTGTGGGAATACGACCCATCAGCAGTCAGTTTCTTCAGAGCTTTCAGGAAGGCAAGCTCCCCTAACCCAGCCCCCAACCCCACCCCCAGGCCAGGACCCCAGCGCCAATCCCACAATTCTCTGTCTACCCTCAAACCTCAGGAGCATGCTAACTGACTAACCAACTCCAGGAGGGTGTTTGCAGGCGAGCAGAGTGGAAGTGAGTCAGGTGTGTGATTGGTGCCATACAACGGAAGCACCTCCATAGAGGGCACAGATTGAAAGGGACAGGGAAGGAGGAGGGATGAGACTGTTCTGCCAGAAACTTGCTTGTACCTTTGAAATTCCTTTATGTCCTTGAAGTCTAGCTGGTAACTGTATCTCACATGGAGGTATATGCTGGTTCTCTCTGGTGTTTTTCTAATGCAATAAACTCATCTCTGCCTGCTGCCTTGTGTCTGCTCTAAAGGGCTCTTTCCTCACCTGCCTCCCTTCTGAGCTTTTCTGAATCCAGACATGTTGCCTTTGCTTGGTTGGAAGCTTTGTGGATGAGAAGCAATGATTGAAAAATCAACAAATTGGTACCATCGAATTAATTCCAACTCAGAGTGCCCCTAGAGGATAGAGTAGAACTGCCCTTGGGGGTTTTGAGGCTGTCTTTATAGAATCAGACTGCATGTCTTTCTCCCACGGGTTTGAACTGCCAACCTCTTGGCTAGCAGCCAAATGCTTTAACCACAGCACCACCAGCGTTCCTTGAAGTGATGACCATAGGAAAGAATATAGCTTGTTGATAACTGGAGAAAGAGCCCAGAGCATACTAGTTGTCCAAGATCACCTAACAAGGGCAGGTTAAGTAAGACCCAAAGCCTGATCCGCTGGCTCCAACTGATGAGACCTCCTGGGAGATCTTGGCCATTGGGTGGTGTCCGACCTCACAATAAGGATTCTAGTTTCAACTTGACTGTCAGCTGGGCCAGTGACCCTGGGGACCTCTCTCCACCTTGCTACAGTGACCTCATGGAACAAGTGTTGGTGGGTGGTGTTTGGTGTGAACGGCATTTCCGGTCCTCCCAGTACTACCCGTTGGCCCAGCCTGGCTTCAGGTGTCTATCAATTCAGTTGTCATACCTGCTTGACCGTGCTTGCTGCTTCCCACACAACAGACTTAAGATGTGGGTGTTGGTCCCACTTTATGGGTGAGCAAACAGGTACAGAGGCTGAGGAACCAGGTGGCAAGTGGCTGTGCTGGCCATGGGCCCAGGCTGTGTTACCAGCACGTGTGGGAAACTTTCTCATTGGGTGCTGCGTTTTGCCACGTGCTAGTTTAAGAATAAACAAGAGGTTCCACCTCTCCAAAGGCCACACGGCAGGTGGCTACGGCCAACAGTTCAGAGGCTCTGAGATCAACTGTGGGCCAGTCAACTCAGTCTGTCTCCTTAACTGTAACGTGGGGGAGTGGTGCCCACCTCCCAGGGGGGTTGTGAGAAATGAACAGAAAGCACTTTGCCTAGGGTGTGGAACAGGTGAAATGCTTTATAGATGTCAGAGAGCCATTCCACAGCCATCACCTGGACCATGCTGCGAGCCAGCGCCACCTAGAGGCCAGGCCCTCCTCTGCTGACTGCCAGTTTACAAGACAAACTGCAGACCTGCATCGTGCTTCTGAGGAAAGTGGGAGAAAACAGGTGTCTCACCCCTAGAACCTGTGACTTGTGGAAGGGCAACCCCACCAAAGTTTCCCTGAGAGCCTACTGGACTCTATGCTCGAGGGACTAGGGGTCCAAACCAGGTCCCTTCCCCTGGCAGGGAATGCCCTCCAGGGAGTCAAAGACAAAAGAGTAGCTGGGCCATCTAAGGACAAGAATGGTAGAGAAGGAGTAAGACCAGGTGGCAGGATTGTGTGTGAGGGGCATGTTAGGTCAGGGGACACTGCTCTGAAGTGACCTTCAACTGAGACTTAACTGACTAGAGAGCTGAGTGAAGAGCATTCAGGCAGAGGGAGCCTCGGGTGAAAAGTGACTGGAAGTCTGGAGCAGAGACTACTGGATTGAGCCGGAGCAGGCCACTAAGGTCAGACCTGCATAGCCTCTAGGGATACCAGAAGCAGTTTATGGTTTCAGCTAGAGAATAATATCTGACTTGCTACAGTGTGGAGAGTGAACTGCCTGGAAGGAGAAGGGGCAGCAGAAAACCATGGGAGGCAGCACGATTTGTCAGGTGAGAAGGGAAATGTACCCTGAGTCAGCCTTGTGCCCAACTCTATGAAGAAGCCCCCAGAGTTACAGGATCCCTGTCCTCCCAGCACTTAGTGCGCAATGTTCAGAGCAGCTCCTGGAAACATGCCTTTTCAATACAACGTTGAAGCACGCCAGTCAGGCCAAGACAAGGGCTGTGTAGAACCATTGCCAGCCCTTCCCTGCTACCACAGGCTTCTGCTGGGCCCCTCCAGCTGTGGTTTGGGTGTACTTAAATTTCTCCATTTTTTTTCCAAAATAAAAATCGTTTTGGTGATGGTGATGTGCATATGAATATAAGAATAATATGATGCTGTTAAGTGCTGTTGCATTGGTAATGACTCAGAGCAACCCTGTATAAGTTTTCCGAGGGGCAGCTGGTGGGTTTGAACCACCAGCTTCCGCCTAGCAGTCCAGGGCTTGTCCTACAGTGCCACAAGAAGACCCCACAAAAGGTAATAGTTGTTATTAAGTGCTGTTGAGTCGGTTCTAACTCACTGACCTTGTATAGGGTTTCCAAGAAGCAACTGGTAGGTTTGAACTGCCGATCTTGTGGTTCGCAGCCAGTGCTGAAAATTAAGCATCCAAATAAAAGTACAAATGTTGAAACAAAAATAAAAAAATCACTTGAAATTCCATCGTTCTAAGAGACTACTAAGATCTCTGGGTGGTGCAAGCAGTTTGCAGTCGGCTGCTAACCTAAAGGTTGGTGGTTCAAACCCACTCAGTGGTGCCGTGGAAGACAAACCTAGAGATATGCAAGATTACAGCCTTAGACCATATGGAACACAATTCTCTCTAACATAACAGAGTCTCCAGGAGTTGGAACCCACTCAGTAGCAACTGGTTGGGTTTTTGATTAAGAAAAACTTTCAACATATTGGTAATGATCTTTCCAGACATTCCTTTGCATTTGAAGATACACCTAGACATGCTGTTTGGTACCTTGTTTTTTTCTCTCATATGCAATCTGTACAGTCCCGGAGAACTAGAACCATGGGAAGTCAAAGGTACAGAGACAGCTTTGAGGAGATAAAAGTTGCCAAAGCCTGAAGGAGCTTAGC